ATTCTTCTGTGCATTCATTCACTCCATCTAAATCAGAAGCTTGAAGCATACGTGTAAAGAATATGTCACCCACTGTGGTCATCGCTTGATCGGGGAAGTTTCTGGAATCTATAGTGACCTGAAGACCTCGAAGCATTGGATTTTCTAAAACTGTTCTTTGCATTGCATTCTTCGGAAATGCTAACACAACATCTGTAACATTATGAAGAGCGTATGAGAAATCTGAGCTAATACCTTCAGGAGTGATGCAACCTCCATTTAGTGAACGAACGTCAATATGTTGAGCTGGAATCATGAATGGATCTTCCTTACTGAATAAACGTGGTATTGCTTTAACTGATTCTTCAATTAAACCGTATCCTGGTGTAATGCATTTATCCTCTAAAACTTCCATCTTTGTGCATGAAATAATAACGTTATCAACTGTTGCGTCAGCAGATGTAGCGGCTAAGCTTGTAATTAATTTGGTAGGAAGTCCGATTTGTTGGAATTTGCGATCATATTTATAAACATGATTCATAATCTTTTCATAATTTTCATCAGTTATCTTTTCATAAACGTAATTTTGTAAATCAGCAACTCTTAACGGGTCAACCTGACAAAATACTAAAGTATCCCTGAAAACATAATATTTAAGAATGATTTCACCAAATGATTTAGGATAATCATCGAACGCCTGAAATGCTAACAAATCATTTACCGGAATAATCATATCAAAAGTGATATCAACTTCTTCATTTGCGTTCTTGAAAACTTCTGAAGGGTCAATATATTTACCACATACTGAGTTATCATATTTTTGAACATTATTATATAACGAATGAACAAACTTTTTAACTTTCCTTTCTGATTTTGGTTTATATGTTGCAAATGCGAAAGATTCACGGGCGCAATCCATCTGAAGATAACCGGCATCACCTCTTTCGGTTTCTACTTCTAATTGTTTAAAGCTTTGATTTGATGATTTGTAACCAACGAATAAACGCATGCATTTAAAAGCGGCATCACATGTGAAAGCTTTATTTGAAACTAGAGTTGCTTTAACTTTGCGTTTAATATATGTGTCACCTAATTGGTTCACATCATGAGCTGGGTTTGTAATTCTTAAATGAGTTTGTTTATCATCAAAATATGGAGAATCAGAGTCATAGCATGAACTTTCAAGTTCTCTATAATATCTTCTACCGTCATTCTTTGCGAATATTTCATTTATCTTTTCGAATGAATGAAACACATTTCCATTAATCGGTTTAGTGTTTGGCACTAAATAGTTAGTCGTCATTTATTAATAAATAAAAAATCAAAATTAAAAGATGAAAATGAATTTTTAATTTTAATGAAATAATCAACTATGGCTGCAGGTATATTTAAGAAACTGTGGGATAAAGTAAAAAGAGGAGCGAGTAAAGTTTGGGAAACATTGAAGAAGGGAGCAAATTGGATATTTAAGAATAAAGAAGCAATTAGTGACGTTGCTGAATCAATAACACCAAAAGCTGCTCCAATAAGAGAAACTTTAAATAAAGGAGAAAAAGTTTATCAAAGGCTACAACCGATACTAAGATAAAAATAATTTATTTTTCCACTATCTACCTCCTATTTTATTAAGTATTCCTTCAGCTATGCCACCAATTGCGTTACCTGCTTGTGCTCCCATCGCCGGATTACCTGCTTTAGTACCTAATACTCCACATATGATAGTTCCTGCCGTTTTCGCTACTGGTGCCAAAAAGTTTGCAATGGGTTTAATAATCTTTTTATGAACCCAACCCGCATCTTTCTTAATTCCATCCCATAATTTTTAAAGAATCCTGCCGCCATTTCTGATTTAATATTAATTAAAAAATATATTTCATCACTTATATTCTAATTTTTATTTAATGATAAATGAAACCGATTTTAAAAATAAATGAAACAGAGGAGGAAGAAATAAATGAAAGTGAAAATGTTCAACAAAAAATAAACGTTGTTAAACCAATTACTGAAATAAAAATTTTTTCATCTGTTGAAGAATTTAATGACTATTATGCTAATAATAAAAAATTATTTGAAGAATTGACAACATGTAAATTGAATAAAATGTTTAAAGTTGATGGATTCAAAATTTCAAAAATAAAGGGGGTGGTTAGTTTGAAATCTATTCCTCAATCAAGAATCACCTCATTAATGAAAATAGATGATTTAACAAAAAGAATAGAAGAGATTGAAGAAAGAATGAATCAAATAATTGATTTCATAAATTCAAATAATCATTAGTTTCTTAAATAATATTTACTAACTTCATAACACATCTCATCTAATATATCCTTTATTTCCTCGTTTGTGAATCCTAATGTTTTCACGTCGTTAGTTTTGACGCTCATTTCTTACGAATTAAAAAATAAATTATTCAAAAATGTGAGACATGAATTTTTAAAGTTTATTTTTTATTCATGAAAATAATTATTTCTAATTTCTTTTACTCTCTCGTATATACTAGATTTAAAGAATTCGGAACTTTTACCATAATCTCCTAAATGTTTTCTTATCCCTAACGTGTGCCAGTTATTATATGAAACTGAATAAACTTTATCTTTATCTTTACACCTTTCATCACTTCCAATATATTTATATCTCAGTTTTGATTTAGCATTTTCATATTCATTAGCGTTTAATAATTCACAGTCTTCCTTTTTAAATTGATGTTTAAGATATTCAGGATTTAATACTCTACGTTTATATGCTCCTAACTTAGTTCTAAAGGTTTTTCTACAAAATTTAGGAATTCCATCCTCTTTAATGTCATCAATGATTTCCATTTCATTATTTTCAATTTCTTCTTCTCGTTTATGAGGTCTTTGATTATGACTCCATTGATTCCATGAAATTAAATATTCTTTATCATTATATTTATATCTCATTAGCTTATTTTGGCTTTCATATTCATTTAATAATTCACAGTCTTCCTTTTTAAATTGAAGTTTAACCCATTCATGATTTAAACAATGTTTAATTAATCGTGGAATATCTGACATCATCTATATATAGCTTCTTTTATAAAAGATATAAAATAAATTATTTTAAAATTAATGTCTTACATTTTTTAATGTGTTTAGTATATAATATTTATTACTAATTTATTTAATAATGTCGCACTTTCTTACAAATTCATGACTTTTAAAAAACGTAAGAAAAAATTTTTATATCATCTATATATGGAAGATGCATTAAAATATACCTTCATCTATATATAGACGTAACAAAAAAAGTCACACACCCCGTTCTATCCTACTACTTGCACCTAAAAACTTAAATCAAATTGATTTTAATATCAAATACATAGATATCTAAAAACTATTTCGATAAAAGCTTAGTATAAATTATACATGGCACGGCGGGCGCAAAAAGTGACAAAATAGAATACCTATGGTGGCAAGACAAAGGAAACATTTTTGTAAGGCAAACATTATATCAAATACCTTTACTTTGTAATAAGAAATATAATTATCACGAAATTACAAATAAATATTGTTTAATATAATTAATAGCAAAATTCTTTTTTATTATTTCCCTTAAGACCTTACTTATTAAGTATACGTATAACAAGCTTGTACTGCATGTATTAGTTAATAGAACAAAAGAAAATGAGCTCAAATGAAAAAAATTTTCATGCTATTTTGGAAATATGCATATTCGGAGTATGAGAGTTGTAAACACTGAGAATTTTAAGCTTTGGTTGATGATAGTCTTTAATTTTTCTTGAAGTAGTAAATTATTTGATATGAAAATTTAATGGCCAGCATAATCAATCGTGCGTTTCGTTTCTTGATTGAGAAACGATGATTGTGTGCTAATGAATTATTGCATCTGACAGGTTATGATTATGGATACCTGAAATTAAGCTTTTATGGGAAACATCACCGAGCGCCATTTGGCGCCCCTAATGCTGTTTCTATCGGTATGATTAAGGAGCTTTCTTATGCACTTTCATCACTTGAACTTGAACGCTACAAGATATATGCCCCCTCCCAATGGGAGGTGGGAGCAAAAATTGAAATGTTTACATTGATTTTTGAATACTTTACAAGCGCCCCTCCCAGTGGGCGCGGGCGCAAGTGATCGGGTCAAAAAAATCATAAAAATATTCAAAATTGCGATTTTAATAGATGTTTAAGAAGTAAATTTATTAATAACGATATTTCATAGTACAAAATGTGTTCAATCTCTTCGTAAATCATTCAAAAAAATCAAAAGAATTTCCAAAATTCAATTTTTTTAGTAAAATTTATATCTTTTTCTATCGTCTCCTCCCCACCAGTGGGAGCCACCGGAGGTGCGGGCGGCGCCGCTGGCGCCAAAAAAGTAGCGCCCATCGTGCCATGTATAGTATAAATCTATAAAAATTCATATAAGTGCACGTGCAAGTGTAATATCTAATTGAAAGAATATTTCTTAACAAATTGATATTATGGAATGTGTTACAATGATTTCAAACTCTTGAAAATCACATAAAAAGGCAAAATAAGCAAGGCATAATGAAAACAATGAAAAGAAATTGAATAATGAAATTCAATGTTTAATAATTTAATGATTCATGTTTGGTTTAATAAAATTAACTCTAATTAACAAAAACAAAACAGAGCCCGCGCACTTTTGTTACCTACTCAGGTTATGAGAAAAATGCCCTCAATTTTTTACTTTTGCAACTCAATATGGAGAATTTTTTTCAAATTATAGAACTATTTGAAATACAAAAGAGACCAACACTGATATGGAAGTATAGGATATCAAAGAACCTTTATAATGGTAATACTATGATGAACAAATGCTAAAATCTGACTCGGTTATAATCAAATTTTTGATCTCAGGTAAATTGAAAAAGTAAAAATTTGAGGTGTTTCTGGACTATCTTTTAATGATTCATTTAAAAAAGTCAAATATATTAGAGAGAATTAACACTTTTTAATTCAATAAAATAGTAAAAAAAAGATTTTGATGAATTACCTAAAAAAAAAATAAAATTATTTCTCTTCTCTGATGAGAGGCTGGAGCTTCTCGTTGTCGTCTGGCTCTGGAACAATAATCCAGAAGCACATAACTGCTGCAAGGAAAGCAAATACAGATCCAGAACCAAGAAGTGGACCTTTCTTTCCATTAGTAAATGATCCGATACCAGAGCCAATGATCCAGTTAGCAAACTGCTGACCGGCGACGACGAAGATGTTGAGGATGCCCATGTATGTGCCCATATCTTCATCGGAAGCGTATGTTCCGACAACAGCGTATGGTACGGAGTTGAATACTGAGCAGGAAATGCCGAGAGGTGTAAGAAGACCTAATGCGGCCCATTTGTTCTTGATGAAGAAGATTGGGATGAGGCAGATACCTTCAATGACCTGGGAGAGTGCGTATGAGAGCTTGAGGCCGATGCATTTGATGACTGCATCTTGGACAAATGACCAAATCATTACAAGAATGGAAGAAACGCCAATGATGATGAGACCGAAGCGGACACCTTCATCATAGTCCTTGCCTTGGAGCTTGTAAAGATCTGTTCCGACGTAACTTGAGCATTCGTTGTTGAATTCAACGTAGCCCATCCAGGAAAGAAGGTAAACAATGGAGATGCGGAGAACTGGCTTTGGCATTGACTTGAATGAACGGAAAATCTGGACAAATGGGTTTGGTCTGTCAAGATTTTCGCGGAATTGTTCTTCATGAGCAGCAACGCATGTAATAACGACGCTAACGATGATGAAGATGCAGCCGCAGATAATAACAAGTTGCTGGTAGTCGAACATTGTGTACTGTGCAACATTGAAGCCACCAATGAAGTTAGAGAAGACCTGAGCCAAGCCAATCATGACGGAAGCGATGGAGTTGGCAAGGACTTGTTGCTGCTTTGGAACTAAGTCACCAATGATTGTACGGGCTGGAGCTTGTAAGAGGTTGACGGAAATGAAGTCAAGAGTTAAGGAAACAATCAGGAAAACAATACTCCATGGTCTTGGGTTGCTCTTGTTGACGAACTTACCGAGCTGGCGGCAGAAGAAAAGGAGCATGAAACCAAGAATTGATCCAATGCAGCCGGCAATGATAAATGGTCTGCGGCGACCAAGCTTTGAGTGCAGGCCATCAGAATAGTAACCGACAAGTGGCTGGCAAATGAATCCACAGAGTGGACCAATCAAATAAATCCATGAACGATAGACTTGTGGGATTTGAATTTCCGCGGAGTCCATAATTGGAGAGAGAAGACCGAAAACTACGGTGAAAACTGTTTGGTAACCGAACATTGAGCTGCAAATACCTAAAATGCGCCAGATAGAGAGCTTATCTCTCTTGGCAAGTGGTACCCAGTCATCGGAAGCTTGAATATCTTCGTATGTGAAAGAAGCAGATCCTTCGCTACGCTGTGCCATTAAGCTTATAAAGAAATGTGAATTGAACAAACTCTCTCAAAATTCAATTCAATTTCATTCAGGTTCTACCGAGATCTTACCTGCCAAAAAATATTTCCTTTTTAGTTTAGGCTATGAATACTATATCCGTAACGAGGATATTTGAGATACTATTGAATATTCAATAAACCTTTGAAAAAAGGCTAACAATCAAATAAATTTTGAAATTACCTTTTATTAAATAAAGGGTTAGTGCTTGAACTTTGGCCAACAAGCATTAAGGTTGTATTGACAATTGCCTTTACTATCACCAGACTAATTGGCCAATAAAACCTTCGATAAGAAGACTTCATATCTCTTGTTTTTATCATTCCTTTTGTTTACGATCATAAAACGAGGAGAATCACCAGCAAACAACAGAAGTGAAGAAAACATTATTTAAAGTCTCAAATTCCCAAAGAAAAATCGTACAACATTTTTATTGACTTTTTACCGCTTGCTTAAATCCATGATCGGATTGCAATATCAGAGATTACTATTATCAACTATCCAAAAATTAAGTTCTATCTTGATTTTCATTGATTGTTTTCGATTTTTTAGATCGAAAAAAAGCCATAATGCAATCAAAAGCTCAAGTGATAGATTTGTAAATGTAAAGTTTGTTCTAAACTCATATTAATTTTAGCTAAAATTAGGTTTTTACTATCAATATTGCATTTTACAAAAGAACAACGATTTCTTATATTTCATATTATGAAATTAAGCTTTACTCCTGTAATAATGTTGTAATATCTTATTTATCCTATAGAATTTCCATAAATTTAAAATCTATAAAAATAAATATATATCAATAGCCCAATGAAATTCAAAATATAGTTTTAATGTTATGAGATGAATTAAAAACCCAGACTATTTGAATCTGGTTCTAATTAACTCAGAAAAATGTGACAATTATGGAAAATCTTCTTGCTCATTTAGGTATATTGGCTCAGGCGAAGCACCTTGTACCAGCTGAGCAAGTGATTATGACTGACATAGAAGAGCTGAATGTTTTATTATCTAAGGATGTTTCGCCAGATCTTTATCCTGAATTAGAAAAGACATTATTGTCACTATTTTCAATTAATTCAGGACAATTCAGCGTCCAATGTGCAATTCATATAGCATCTACACTCGTCAAAGTCTATGATCTTATGAAAAGAGCTGAATATTGGAACATCATCAACATTGCAACTGACAATCCAACCACAGCAACACTTGTAGCTACAGGATATATTATCAAGAATATTGGCAACAAATTTAAATCACAATTACCAAGATTTATTGAACATTGCTTAAAACAAACTAAATTTGAACAGGCTTGCTTATACTCTCTTACCGCATCACTAGAAGCTGGTGGCAAGTCAGTTTACCAATTCATTCCTCGTGCTTTTGATTATTGCAGGAAAACTTTATTAAAATGCAACCAAACAACGATGCAAGAAGCAATTACATTCCTCAGGACAATTGTTAACATAATCAGCTCCGGGGAAACCACCAATGTTACGATTCCTCAGATTTTAGACACAATTCGCATTTGTTTCCAGCAAAACTCACCATTCATACGATCAGACATTGCAAACCTTGTTGCGGCGTGTGCGTACGAACCATTCTACAACGTAGATACTACCAAATCCGTTTCAGAATGGGATGTCGGCAAAATGAAACACGAAGCAGAAGGATTAGACTTCACGAAGTCATTCGGAATCATTCAGTCCTTCCCATCCATCATCGATCTCTCTGTTTCAGCCTTTTTCCAGTTACTTGGCCCAGAAATTATATTTTTGAACCATTCTTCACTGATGAAATTCATTCGCCAGAGTTCATTTAGTTCCATATCGAAGCTCATCTCCAATCTACCATCCGATATCCGCTACATGCACTTCAAAAACCTAATTCACGAAAATCTCTCCGTCCAACAGATCAAATTGATGTCATTGCTCTGTCCAGATGATGGCTCGATCGGGGAGTCCTCCAATGTTGCCTTCAAAGCCGCCATTTCCGATGACAAAGAGCTCAGAAGAGTTGCAAAAGAGTTTTTCTCAGCTTTGGCAAAAACTCATCCACAAGCAGCACTTCCTGCTCTTTCTTTAGCCCTTACGACAGCGAAATCCAAATATTCGCAACAGGAAATAGCAATGCATTCCATCTATTGCGCTGTTTCAATCCTAAAATCAATAGATCAGAAAAATTTGGCAGCTGAAAATTGCCGATCACAAATTGAGAGCCTTCTCAAAATTAGTTTTCACGAAATTGATGTTAATTCGTATTCCTTTAGCAGTGTTTTATTACTTTTAGCCTATTTACCTGAAGAATTTTCTGAATCTGAAATATCGAAGAAGGCGATTTCGACTGCCATTGATTCTGTTCTCAAAGACAAAGCGCATACAACACTTAGAACATTCAAGAAGTTGTTAAGTAGTCTTTTTTCACTTGTTGAGAACAATGAAAACTCAGATTTGTCAAAACATCTTTTAATTGCTGCTTTAATGGCGAATAACATCAAATTACCACGCACCGTGTTACTTTCTTTCCTCAAACTTGTTCCAAAGGTTCTGAAAGACCAACCATTGGCTCTTTCAACAGCATTAATGATTGTCAGGTTTTCTTTGGGCTTAATTCCTTCCACGGACTTAGTTGTTAGGAATCGAACACGTCCACTTCCTGTTGGCAAGAACTTGCTGAAGCAGGAGGAGGAATTAACATACCAACAAAAGAAAGACGATGAATTTTTACAAAACGTCATTGAAAATTTGAGTGTTTTATTGGTCAGTTGTCCAATAGACGATGTCCATGTTGTTGTTAGAGAAATATTAGAACAAACAACACAGACACAAACAACAATTTTGTTATTGATATCAATTGTCAAAGAAAATTCTTTGCATCAAACATTGCCAACTAATTTTCCTTCATTTATTTTGTCCCTTCTTTTGCAACCTGGCAATGAAAAGCTTCAACAACTCTTATGTGAGTTATTATCAATTTTCGTTTCTTTCCATTTAGAATTGTTAGGAAAAATTTTCAATCATGTTGATGCAAAACCGTTTTTATCGTCGACTATTTTGATTGATTCAATTTTCAGTCATATGAGTGTTCCTTCACAATTCATCAGTCGCGCCATAGTTTATTTAGACTGTCGCATGAAAGACAAGACGCAAATGATGTTTGCAATTCATGCAATTACAACAATTATTTTGACACACGCTATGCAAGTTGCAAGTTTAGGAATAACTGCGAATCAGTTCAATGTTTTATTGCAAGCATTGCATAGCCATATCAGTTTAAGTCCGACAGCTTTGTTTATATTCATGGAATTGTTTAAAGTTCTTGTTGAAACGGTTTCGAGTGATATTTTATCGCATGAAAAAGAAATTGCTGTAATTTTAAGAAGTTTTCAGTTTACACCTATTGAATATTCGAAAGAGATTTATTATGAATGTTCAAGAGCTGTTTATACTTTTGCTCATAACTTGAGTTATTTAGCACCTATTTCTTTTAATAATAATTTAACAAACCAAGCATCTTTAGCTTGTTGTTCTGCTTTTTATGATTTGATGAAATTCGAAACATGCGAATTTGAAAACGAGAAATTATTACCAAGGTTATTAGTTTTGCTGCAAGAAACGAAAGATAAAAGATGTTCTAATTTCATTATCCAAATTGCATCAACAATGAAATTAAAAGATGTTCAATTTTGGATTTCTAATTGCAGAAGAATTTTAATTACTGGATCTCTTCTGCAGAATTCAACAACAACAATTGAACCATGTCCTGAAGTTAGATTATGCTTCATGACATTGAGCAAATACATTCCGAAATTGTTAAGTGAAATGCCTGTTCTAAAAACAGAGTATTTGGATGATTTGATTTCAAGTGTTTGCAGAGCAACAGATACAGATAGAGTTGCTTTGCAAGAAGCTGCTTTCCCAATCCTTCAAAACGTAATTGACTTGTTTAGAGATAGATTCGCAGATGAAGGTGGAAGACTATTGGATTTGTATGACTCTCAATTCTCTCAAACTGTAAGAGTCGGATTTCAATTGCCTTTAATCGTTTCTGGCGGTTTTCTTAGTACTTATTTAAGTTTCAGTACTAGTAATATCAAAACTGATCCAGAAAATTGCGCCAATGTATTGGTAGTTTATGTAACTGGCCTCAGCCAATGCAAACAAAGGAATTCTTCTTATTTCCAGTTGGCAACACATCTCTGCAACATCGCAAGAAATTATCCAATGATTTCTGATTTGATCGGTGACTTTTTGAAGACATTGAGTCCAATTTTTGTTGATATTGTGTTGAGAGCAATGAATTTGTACAAGGATAGAAATGACTGGAGATCTTTGACTAAATTTAGATCATTGGCACAGTCATTTTACAGAGAATTATTAAGTGCTTTCATATGGTTACAATCGAAAGAAGAAAAGAAAGTCATAAAAAGTGACAGTTTGGTCGCATTTTTAGCGATTGAATTACAGCATTCACAAGAAAACTGGTTGTCGTTGGCTGCTTTTGATGCACTCTCTGTTGCCTTGAGACAGGAAGGAGCGAAAATCGATCCAAGACTCGTAAAACTGTCCTTGGAAGTCGCTGCAAACTACAAAGGTGTAAATAAATCACAGGTTTCCGAATTAATTGATTCTTGTGCGTCACTTTTAACAGAAAATTCTGAATACGATGAATTAAGAAAAACCGTTTTGTCATTGACATTAACAAACCACTTCAGTCCGACTGTTTTAGGACACTTGATACATTCGGATAAAAAGTCAACTTTGTCAATTTACGCGGAAGCAATTTTGGACGGAATTTTGACAAATTTGACAGAGAAAAAGATCACTTCAGAAATTGCCGGCGCATTGATAAATCTCCTTATTTCTCACAGTCCAAAAGTCAGCGGATCGACAATAGACAGAGTTCTTGATTTAAGTGATGATTTGAGGGACTTCAAACTCCAAACAATTTCGAGATGTTTGTTGCATAAAAACATCGAAGTTCCCCTTGAAAAATTGTCACGTTTTTGCATCAGTTCATTCAAACGTGGCGGAATGAATTTGATTGCAAAATGTCTTATACATAACGAAGATGTTGGTGTCAGTCTTTTGAGCAGAGGCGCTTGCAAGGCTGCTTTCTTGTTGGCTCAAAAAGATTTGCAAAATTCAAGAGCTTATTTCTTGTTCTTACATTTGGTTTTGAATACTTTACAAAAAAGTGACAAAGTGATGTGTGAAGAATTTTGTGTCCCACTGCTTAAATTGTGCATTTCATTCACTTCCAAGTTGAAAGTTGATTCCCAGATCGACAGGAAACTTTACGCGATTGTTGCAAGAATTTGCAAAGATTGCGTAACAATTTCTCCTCAAAAATGCAGTTACGCATTCAACGAAGTGAATGAAAATGAAAGGAAACAGATCATGACAATGACTGAGGTCTGTATAAATGCAGAGAAACAGAGAATGAAGACAGAACAATTAGTAGCTTTCTCAACAAACCAAAGAAGTTCAAGAAACGAATGGCAGACATTGGATATCGAAGATTAATGTTATATTATATTTTTTTATTGTTAATAATAACAGAAATAAATATTTATTTTTTTATTATAAATCTTCATTTTCAATCCTTCAATATATACAACTTGTTAATTCTTAATGTGTATTCCATCAAGAGTTTGAACTGCTTATCAAATCTTAATATGAATTCTATCTAAATATTAAAATGCTAATCACAATTTATCATACATTGTGATATTTTAGATTCCCCATGAATATTTTAAATAAAGCAAATCATCTATCTTTTAAAAGTTAGATAAACTTTCGAGCAGCATGTGAGCAAAGCGTAATAAATACAAATATATTCCATGACTAATTTTTAATTATTTGAATGAATTGCTTAAGGGTGCACTTACGCCCCTATGACAGGGCCTTCAATTCAGACGGTTAAGGTTAAATTTCAATGAAGCTTCACTCCAGTTGTCAAAAATTTGAATTAAAGCCAGATAGGCGTAAGTGCAGCCTTAAGAAGGAAAATATCTAAAAAATGTTTATAAAAAATTGAAATTCATTGATATCAAGTCTTCATTATGATTCCATAATAATAAAAATGTAGGTTTTAAATGTTATCAAGCCAAATGTCATATCAATTTACTAAATCAATTGAAAATTAAGCGAAATATTGCAATATTACTAAATTTATATAATCTATTATTAATAAATACGTGATGAAGTCATAGAAATTTTGTTAATTGTATAAATTTTCATAATTTAAAAAAAATCATTAGATTATAGTATTTTTATTGCAAACAATAATTTTTATCACCATACGAAAACAAACAACAATTAAAATTCATTTATTTTGATTTTGAATTCACGACTTTTTAAAAATTCCATTAAAAATTTATGAGCATTAAATCCATTACGATGACACATTACAACTCAATAATGGGCTTAATGAAAGGACACTATGATACATTCAAAGCATTACATCAGTCAAATCTTGAAAATGATGAAGAAATTAACAGAGTTTATGGATTGATAGAAACAAACTTGATCAAAACGAAAATGTTTCAATTCAGTGAAGTAATTAATTTATTTTCAACTCTGTTTGTATATAAAAACAAAAATAACAGATCAAATTTTAAAATTTTTAAAAGAGTTTACGATAACTATCCTCCAGCTCAAGACGAACAACTATCACCCCCTTTTTGCTATTATTTAGCAAAACTATACAAGATTCATGTGAATTCAGTGAACCATTTTGTTGATAAAGCATTAGAATCAAAAAATCCACCATTAGGTGTTTTTCCCAACAAAACAGTCATGAAAGCAATTATGAATGATGACATAAAATCGTTAAGTGCATATGCTAGCAATGAAAAATTTAATTCAAACGAAACAATTATAAACGAATTTATGATTCCACCTTGCGAATACAACTATCTCGAACTTTGCTGCTATTATGGTTCAGCTGAATGTTTCATGTTTTTGAGGTCTAAATTTAATACGAAAATAACTGAAAACTGTCTTTTGTTTTCATTTCTCGGTGGAAATTTAAAAATTGTTAATGAATGTTTGTTGTATCAAAAACCGAATCAAAAATGTATGGAATATGCAATATTTTCATTCAATAAAGATTTGATATTGCTTTTGGTAAACAAATACAAAATACAAATTGAGCCTGAACAATGTTCACAATGTGATAATATTGAAGCATTTGCATTATTGATGGAACAAACAATAGATTATGACAAAATTTTTGCAATTGCACCTAAGTTTCAATTACTTGAAATAATGAAATATTTATATCCATTGGTTAAAAATATTAATGTAGTAGATAAAGATGGATGGACAGCGGTGATTTTAGCATCGTATCTTAACAATATTGAGATTCTGCAATTTCTCATCTCAAATGGTGCAAAAGTCAATTTGGCAGATAACCTAGGGAAAACTCCACTTATGATTGCAGTTAATTTAAATCATTTCCAGATTGCAAAACTCCTCGTTAAAAATTCAGCAGATATTAATGCTAAAGATAAACAAGATATGAGTGTACTTCATTATGCTGTCAAAGGTAATAATCTAGAGATTTTCAAATTATTAATTTCACATGATGCAATTATTCATGTCACTGATCGGGATGGTATTTCTCCATTTGATTCTGCACTTCATATGTGTAACATAGAAATAATAAAGTATCTCAAATCTAAAGGTCTTGAAAAATGTGGGAAGTTCCAAAGAGCATTGAATGATAAAAATATTAATTTAATTTTACGGAGTGCAGTAATTTCAAATCAATTAGATGCTGTGATTAACTTACTAAATGCTGGAATTAATCCAAATATACCTGACCCATATGGTTATACACCAGTTCATTATGCAATTGGACTTGGATTTTCTGATATGTTCAAAATACTTGAAATGGCTGGCGGTAAAATTAATTAAATCTCAATTATGGAATTAAAAAAGTTTTACATGGAGTTCAAAAAAACTTACAAAAATCAATATTTAAAATTAATGATGCACTTACGCCCCCACGACACGGCCTTCAATTCAGATGTTTAAGGTTAAATTTCAATGAAGCTTCGCGCAAATTGTCAGAAATTTGAATTAAAGTCAGGTAGGCGCAAGTGCAGCCTTAAATTTGGACTTTTTTTACTTGTATTTGTATTTGAAAAGTTTTGGAGTTGGTCATTAAATTAAATCAAATCCATTTAAAAAGATTAAGAAAATAAATGCATTCATTCCTCTGAATTTGTTCTCCTGGTATCATATACATGTTTGTCCCCTACAGTAACATCGTCATATATATATACTGTTGCAATTTTATATGTGATTGTTTTAGCTGGATCAAAAATATGAGTTGTTCGAGCTATATAATTGGCATCTCTCATGATTATTCCTGCACCTAGACCGTCTTCTAGGAAGATCATGTGAGGAATAACGGGATGTTTATTTGCGACATCTCTCAGGCTATCTGCTGTTTGAACTGCATAATCGGCATATCTCATACCTCTTCCAGCAACTCTAACGCCTAATGGGAGGAACCCAAGAGCAATTTCTCTCAAGCTATATGCTGTTGCAATTTTATATTTGACTTTAGCAATGCTTTAAAAATGAAGTGTCGATAATCGTATTCAATTGAGTATTTTGAGAGAGTGTCTTATAGCCAATGAATTAAGACATTTAATAAAATTCATATATTTATACTTTATATTATTTAAAAAAAAAAAAAAAAAAAAAAAAGGTAGTGGGGCTTCCAGGGGCTGCGCCCCTTCTAGCCCCGAAGATGTTTAGTAAAAAATGAGGTTTTTATTCGGAAAATTGTTAGTCTTCTGGTGTGAATTCGGAGGACTCTTCTTGGATTGAGTCTTGTGGTTCATCTTCTTGAGTAGAGTCTTCTTCTTCAACATCAAAGTCATCTGGTGTATCGAACTGAATGTATGAAAGCCAAATGTTGTATGTGTTTTCCAATTGGCTTTCAAACTTGAGATACATTCCATGCATGAGTGTTATTTCAGTTTCAACGTAGAGTTGCTGACGTGGCTTGAAGACATGCATGAGAATTGGTCCTCCAAATTCGTCCTTGAAAAACTTGCAGTAGCAAACAATAACTGAGATAGAGTCTCCTTCTTCAATGTCTTCTGCTTGGTTAACGAAATGAATAGCAATTTTGCGTACTTGAATTGTGTTGTTGTCTGAGTAAAATAATGGTTTGAACTTGGGATTGAGTGAGCTAAGACATTGCCATTTTGCTGTTTCTTGTCCGTACTCACGTTCTTCTTCGTCATCCTGATATCCATAACTCTTTAATTTGAATTCGACCCAAAACTGTTCGACTTTTTTTGCAGCTTTGGGTGGAAGACTTTCAATAAGCTGACATATAGTTCTGTCAACCATTATCTTTGTTATTGTTGGAAAATAGTTGACAATTGTGTCACCTAATTCGAATGGGTCAGGTGTTTCTTTTTGTAGTTTGGTAAAGTCTGCAAGAACTTTGTTGAGTTGTTCACAATATTCTTTGTTAAAAGTTGCAGGAACTCTTTCTTCTGGCTTTGAATTGAAGTATTCTTCAGACAATCTGAGTAGTATTTTGCGTAGTTCAGCGTTGCTGTGGTTCTTTGTAATACGGAGCTCGTTTGGTATTGTTTTTGGTAGTGAAAGTGGCTTTGGATTGAGCGAATTGCTGTTCTGCTTGGAGAATGTGTAGATGCTGCAGTTTGATATTGAGGCTCTAAACCTGTGGGTGCTGAAAGTTTGCAAGCAATTTCTTCAGGTGAATTTGGAGCGAACACGTAGCGAATGCCATTAGACAAAAAATAAACTGTTTTTTTTCGGACTACTCATAGAAAAGTTTAAAATAAACCGTTTTCGTCAACGGTAACCCCCTCTATTTTTTTATTTTATTTAATAGTTACCGTTGGCAAACCGTTCCATCTCAAATATTGAATGAACTATAAACGTTTTTTGTTTTCTATATATTACTTTTTTGTCCAACGGTAAAACTTTTTACACAACGGTTTTTGAGAGTCGTCGCCGTTGACTTTTTTTGTAGAGCACTCAAAATAGTATAACTTTGTTCGGACAAGTAAGGGTCTATCGTCGCTACAGGAAAAGTTACAGGCGTTCCAAGGAAGTATACTTTGAGAAGCCTTTTCCCCTTATAGAATGAGATAGGACGGTTATTTTACAAAACTGACAAACACTTTGACCGAGTAGTTTTTTTGTGCTGAACAAATAGTGTCATATAAACATCTGTCAAAAACCGCTTTTTAACTTCACTTAAAATGCCACGTAAGCTACGTAAGAATATACGTAAGAGGAAGGGAGCATTGAAACATCCAATAGTAAAACTGACACCACAACAACAGTTGCAACAACAAATTATGAATGACCCCACTATGTTGCAACAAATGTCAAGCAATCCTATGCTTTTAAACCGAGTCATTGGTGCACAGAGTGGAGGTTTAAGAGCGGCACTTTTAGCGAAAATGGCAGGCTATGGTGGAGCTGCAGACGGAACAGCCTATAACCCTCAAAGTCAAATGAATTTGAGTTCACTCAAAAATCAAATAGCAGATGTCAAAAAGTCAAACATAGACATACAGAAGCAAATAAGTGAAACGAAAAGAAACTAGAATATGACAGACACACAAAGAAACTCAATGAGTTAAACGTAGAGAAAAGAAGAAAGAAAAACAACTGAAAGAACTAAGTACAGAGGAATATGCGAAAAAAGTGTCAGAAAAAGCAGCAGAAGTAGCAAAAATGGAACAAGATGTTGTAAATTTGAAAAACCATACTACTCATATAAAGTACTGAAAGATGAAGAGATAAAACAAAAAGCCCTGAAGACATATATGGATAGCGATGAGTATAAAAAAAGAAGAAGGCCAAAATGTTAAAGGGCAGAAAAACTTTTACAGTTGCAAAACCAAACCGTACAGTATGAAAACTTAGCACAAGAAAGTAAAATAACGACGCAGCCATGCAAAAGGCAATGAAAAGCGCAGAATATATAAAAGCTAATAATGACTGGTTAGATGCCCAAGCCAACGCTAAAGCAGCCCAACTCATAGGGTCAATAAGGACAAAAATACAAGCGGATGAAGATAGTTCAAATGAAGCTTTAACAAATGCTGACTTTAAGAACGCTTTCGAAGCTCTTCATAGTAAGGTGAAACAGTGAACGACTTCTCATCTGGAAAGAAACTGAAGTCTGAAGGTTTCGAAACGAGTTAAGAGAAGTAGCACAAAATATGACGAAAATAACAGATGCAGCAACGAGACAGGCAGTTCAAAGTGCCTATGACGCCGTTAGAGCAACTGTTGTGGAAAGTAAAGAAAAAGAGTTACAACGACCAAAACAGACCTAGTAAATGCTTTCTTAAAAACGAAAAGTCAGGTAGGACACTATGCTGCAGATGGAACATATGTGCCAGCTGGTGGAACTAATATACCACAAACCCTCAAGAGAAGCACCTGCACCAGGACTACCTAAAACATTTACATCGTCACATGGACATAGACACAGGCATGCACCAAAACCAACACAACAACCAACAGTTCAAAACCCTGCACAACAACCAACAGTTCAAAATCCAGCACAACAACAACAACAGCAGCACAGCAACCACCTCCACAACCACACAACAACACAAACAGAGCAAGGACATAAAAGAAGTAGAGAACAAGGAAACCAAGAATTCTTAAAAATGCTTAAGAAGAGTGTGGTTTCGCAGATACTGTTGACTTTAGTGACAGATATAAAGAAGCTATTAGAAAGTTCAAGATGGAAATACTGACCCGAACCTATTTAGCTTTATGACTCAGCACCAAATGGGATATATTTCAAACCTGGAAAATACAAGCTCGCTAAGGGATATGATTTAATAGCATATCATCCAAATGACATGAACGAATTTACTCCGAGATTTTGATGTCAGAGCTAAATGACAATACACTTTCGTCATGAAACGCGTAAAAAATAGAGACGGAAACGAAAGAAGAAAGGCTTATGAATGCGGATGACGTAGATAGGGAAATTGTTGAAAACGGTCTCGGAATATATGAAATGCCGCAGATGAGGTACAAGAAACTCACAGGAAGAATAGTTCAGATACAACGACATGGAAGAATAGTCAGCACAACAGCTAGAAGAGCTGAAGGAAACGACAAGTCACTCCTTTGGAAACTAACACTCACAGAACTAGATGAAGATTTGGAACAGCCGAAAAATCTTGACCTCAACAAGAGCATGAGGTGAATATGGAATCTTTCCAAGAGTCTAAAGAAGATTCGGCTGACATAGTAGAGAGATATCGAAAATGTTTCCGACATACAAAAGATCTCAACACCAGATGAAAATATTCAGCATAGAATGAGAAACTGAAAAAAAATGTACACAACTACAACAACCCTTTTTACTTACGAGCATTTAACGTTCAATCTTCGGATGAACTCGGTGAAAATAAAAGGTTAAATTTCAAGAAAACATATAGAAATGAAACATTGTTTAAAGTTCATTCAGAACCTAACCAAAATGGAAACAAACCTACTTTTGTTTCTGCAGACGATGGAACTACAATGAGATGGGTCATAAAGCTAATTCGGATAGGTGGTTCATAACTTACAACCACAATTCCAAGAAGTTGTAGACGCAATGGAAGTCAATGGTGAACCAGATATAGCGGTATTTAAGCGCGGCTTTAATGCCATTGAAAGATATGAAACATGCAGATATTTTGGACCAGTATGAAATGAACATGGCTGATGGAAAATATACAACTATCGTTCTAGAACATTTATCTCAAAGAACTACCAGACATAAAGATGGTATATTTGGTGAAGAGTTTAGAAAGAAAGTTAGGAGATAGAAGGAAAGAACCTATTGACATGACCTTGCAAACGAAAGTTTGCAAAATGTCATAAAAACTTACTTGGCA